GTTCGTCACATTCCCAATGAAGGGGTCCTGCGAGACTCCGAAGCATTGCCTTGCTGTAACTATGTGATTGTTCATCAAATGCCTGATGAAGGGGTCCTGCGAGACTCCAAAACGTTGCCTTGCTGTAAACTATGTGATCGTTTATCATATGCCTGATGAAGGGGTCCTGGGAGACTCCAAAACGTTGCCTTACTGTAACTATGTGATCGTTCGTCACATGCCTGATTAAGGGGTCCTGCGAGACTCCAAAACGTTGCCTTGCTGTAACTATGTGATAGTTCGTCACAGGCCTGATGAAGGGGTCCCACGAGACTCCGAAAGTGTTGCCTTGCTGTAACCATGTGATCATTCATTACATGCCTGATGAAGGGGTCCTGCGAGACTCCGAAGCATTGCCTTACTGTAACTATGTGATCGTTCGTCACATGCCTGATGAAGGGGTCCTGCGAGACTCCGAAACATTGCCTTGCTGTAACTATGTGATCATTCGTCACATGCCTGATTAAGGGGTCCTGCGACACTGCGAAACGGTGCCTTGCTGTAACTATGTGATCGTTCGCACAGGCCTGATGAAGAGGTCCTGCGAGACTCTAAAACATTGCCTTGCTGTAACTATGTGATCGTTTGTTACTGACCAGACGAAGGGGTCCTGCGAGACTCCGAAAGTGTTGCCTTGCTGTAAACTATGTGATCGTTTATCACATGCCTGATGAAGGGGTCCTGCGAGACTCCGAAATGTTGCCTTGCTGTAGCTATGTGATGGTTCGTCACAGGCCTGATGAAGGGGTTCTGCGAGACTCCGAAACATTGCCTTGCTGTAACTATGTGATCATTCGTCACATGCCTGATTAAGGGGTCCTGCGACACTGCGAAACGGTGCCTTGCTGTAACTATGTGATCGTTCATCACAGGCCTGATGAAGAGGTCCTGCGAGACTCCAAAACGTAGCCTTGCTGTAACTATGTGATTGTTTATCACATGCCTGATGAAGGGGTCCTGCGAGACTCCAAAACGTTTTCTTACTGTAACTATGTGATCGTTCGTCACAGGCCTGATGAAGGGGTCCTGCGAGACTCCGAAACATTGCCTTGCTGTAACTATGTGATCGTTCGTCACAGGCCTGATGAAGGGGTCCTGCGAGACTCCGAAACATTGCCTTGCTGTAACTATGTGTTCGTTCGTCACATGCCTGATGAAGGAGTCCTGCGAGACTCCGAAACATTGCCTTGCTGTAATTATGTGGTCGTTTGTTACTGACCTGACGAAAGGGTCCTGCGAGACTCCGAAAGTGTTGCCTTGCTGTAAACTATGTGATCGTTTATCACATGCCTGATGAAGGGGTCCTGCGAGACTTCGAAACGTTGCCTTGCTGTAGCTATGTGATCGTTCGTCACAGGCCTGATTTAGGGGTCCTGCGAGACTCCGAAACGTTGCCTTGCTGTAACTATGTGATCGTTCGTCACATGCCTGATGAAGGGTTCCTGCGAGACTCCGAAACGTTGCCTTACTGTAACTATGTGATCGTTCGTCACATGCCTGATGAAGGGGTCCTGCGAGACTCTGAAACATTGCCTTGCTGTAACTATGTGATCGCTCGTCACATGCTCGATGAAAGGGTCCTGCGAGACTCTGAAACATTGCCTTACTGTAACTATGTGATCGTTCGTCACATGCCCGATGAAGAGGTCCTGCGAGACTCCAAAACGTTGCCTTGCTGTAAACTATGTGATCGTTCAGCACAGGTCTGATGAAGGGGTCCAGCGAGACTCCGAAACGTAGCCTTGCTGTAGCTATGTGATCGTTCGTCACAGGCCTGATGAAGGGGTCCTGCGAGACTCCGAAACATTGCCTTGCTGTAACTATGTGATCATTCGTCACATGCCTGATTAAGGGGTCCTGCGACACTGCGAACGGTGCCTTGCTGTAACTATGTGATCGTTCGTCACAGGCCTGATGAAGAGGTCCTGCGAGACTCCGAAACATAGCCTTGCTGTAACTATGTGATTGTTTGTCACAGGCCTGATGAAGGGGTCCTGCGAGACTCCAAAACGTTGCCTTGCTGTAACTATGTGATCGTTCGTCACAGGCCTGATGAAGGGGTCCTGCGAGACTCCGAAACATTGCCTTGCTGTAACTATGTGTTAGTTCGTCACATGACTGATGAAGGGGTCCTGCGAGACTCCGAAACATTGCCTTGCTGTAATTATGTGATCGTTTGTTACTGACCTGACGAAAGGGTCCTGCGAGACTCCGAAAGTGTTGCCTTGCTGTAAACTATGTGATCGTTTATCACATGCCTGATGAAGGGGTCCTGCGAGACTCCAAAACGTTGCCTTGCTGTAACTATGTGATAGTTCGTCACAGGCCTGATTAAGGGGTCCCACGAGACTCCGAAAGTGTTGCCTTGCTGTAACCATGTGATCATTCATCACATGCCTGATGAAGGGGTCCTGCAAGACTCCGAAATGTGGCCTTGCTGTAACTATGTGATCGTTCGTCACATTCCCAATGAAGGGGTCCTGCGAGACTCCGAAGCATTGCCTTGCTGTAACTATGTGATTGTTCATCAAATGCCTGATGAAGGGGTCCTGCGAGACTCCAAAACGTTGCCTTGCTGTAAACTATGTGATCGTTTATCATATGCCTGATGAAGGGGTCCTGGGAGACTCCAAAACGTTGCCTTACTGTAACTATGTGATCGTTCGTCACATGCCTGATTAAGGGGTCCTGCGAGACTCCAAAACGTTGCCTTGCTGTAACTATGTGATCGTTCATCACATGCCTGATGAAGAGGTCCTGCGAGACTCTGAAACGTTGCCTTGCTGTAACTATGTGATCGCTCGTCACATGCCCGATGAAGGGGTCCTGCGAGACTCCGAAACATTGCCTTACTGTACCTATGTGATCATTCGTCACAGACCTGATGAAGGGGTCCTGGGAGACTCCGAAACATTGCCTTACTGTAACTATGTGATCGTTCGTCACATGTCTGATGAAGAGGTCCTGGGAGACTCCAAAATGTTTTCTTACTGTAACTATGTGATCGTTCGTCACAGGCCCAATGAAGGGGTCCTGCGAGACTCCGAAACGTTGTCTTGCTGTAACTATGTGATCGTTCGTCACATGCCTGATGAAGGGATCCTGCGAGACTCCGAAACATTGCCTTACTGTAACTATGTGATCGTTTGTCACTGACCTGATGAAGGGGTCCTGCGAGACTCCGAAACGTTGCCTTGCTGGTAACTATGTGATCGTTCATCACATGCCTGATGAAGGGGTCCTGCGAGACTCCGAAACATTGCCTTACTGTAACTATGTGATCGTTTGTCACTGACCTGATGAAGGGGTCCTGCGAGACTCCGAAACATTGCCTTACTGTAACTATGTGATCGTTTGTCACTGACCTGATGAAGGGGTCCTGCGAGACTCCGAAACGTTGCCTTGCTGTAACTATGTGATCGTTCGTCACATGCCTGATGAAGGGGTCCTGCGAGACTCTGAAACGTTGCCTTGCTGTAACTATGTGATCGTTCGTCACAGGCCTGATGAAGGGGTCCTGCGAGACTCCGAAACATTGACTTGCTGTAACTATGTGATCGTTCATCAAAGGCCTGATGAAGGGGTCCTGCGAGACTCCGAAACGTTGCCTTGCTGTAACTATGTGATCGCTCATCAAAGGCCTGATGAAGGGGTCCTGTGAGACTCCGAAAGTGTTGCCTTGCTGTAACTATGTGATCGTTCATCACAGGCCTGATGAAGGGGGCCTGCGAGACTCCGAAACGTTGCCTTGCTGTAACTATGTGATCGTTCATTAAAACTTTTGGACCCGTATTGGTGATCCTCGGTGTGCTGGTGACATTCTCCCTCCCTTTTGTAGGCAGACTGGTCTTGTCTCCTCCCCTTCTGTAGTTGGCAAAACTGTAGTAAGTGGACCTGATAAATCCCTCCTGCAGCTCTGCTCTCTCTACAGGCCATGTACAACACAGGGATGATGTCACTGCTACTTTACAAGGTAATATCAGGGTTTGCAAAGGCATTTGGTGCACACAATGTTACTATACATCCTTTGTGGCTGTGAAAGAAATGAATGTATATTTTTTGAGGGGGGGAGGGGAGCTCAGTGGGCCAAATTCTAACTTATCACCCACTTGTATCTGTAGTATTTCTGAGCTGATAATGTGGCTTTACCAGCCTTTTACGCATCACCCTCCTCGGTGACGCTCACTTTACACCACACTTATTGAATTCTGGCCCGGGATCACTGGGGCAGAGGGGGAGGAGAGGGGGCGGGAGCAGCTGGCTTTCAATCAGGCAGCTGGGTGGATCCCGACAATACGGTCGGGATCCTCCAGAGCCACAAAGCCTGTGACATCAGCTGACAGCAAGCTTTATCCCGCTATAAGCTGACTCTGGGCCACAGGGGAGCAAAAGTAAGTGCACTTCTGTGACCCACAAAAGAATTATGGTCAGAAAATCCTTGGCCATTATTTTCTATTCCATTGAGACCGGTTCACACCTGTCAGTGTGGGAAAATCCACAGGAATGCAATTCCATCTGCAGACACATGGAGGGGCCATTCATTTTAAATGGCACCCTAGGCATCTTGCAAGTGTGGGTGCATTCAGAGCCATCAAGCTGCACAGTAGCACAGTACCGCGCCATTTGCTGCAGCGCAATCTTTAACCCGTTCCTGCTGTACTGTTTGCGCGTTCAGCAGACCGTCACAAACGCGCTGCATGGCAATGCACAAATATGGTGCTCGCACGCAGCTTTTATGGTGTCAACCAGCCCTTGTACTTAAACAAAAAATACTTTTTATAAAAAAAAAGGTTTTCATTGGCAAGTAAGCGCTTGGTAAAAAAAAATATACAATCGGCAGTACACCAATATGGACACAAGATGGCGCGGTGCGACCGTAGTAGTTCGGGCAAGCTGAGTGACAGCGGACAGGGAAAGCTGAGACCTACTTCCGCTCTGCCCCGACCAACATGGCGGCCCTCTGCGGACACGTGCTTCCGGTCCGCCCGCAAGGTTTGCACGTCTTCTGGGTCGTAGATCGCTTGCAGTCATGGCGCAGGGGTCGTTGAAGCTGAAGGCAAAGCCTAAGAAAAAGAACACCAGCAAGCCTTCAGTGATGAGGAAAGGAGGTGAGACCACAATGGGAGGGGCGGCAAGGAGTGTGCCCAGAGCATGCTGGGATATGCACGTGCTGTAAACATTCGGTGGGGCCCCTAGGTGCTATAGGATCCTCTGTACAAATGTGTTGGTGGGGCCCCTAGGTGCTATGGGATCCTCTGTACAAATGTGTTGGTGGGGCCCCTGGGTGCTGTGGGATCCTCTGTACAAATGTGTTGGTGGGGCCCCTGGGTGCTGTAGGATCCTCTGGACAAATGTGTTGGTGGGGCCCCTGGGTGCTGTGGGATCCTCTGGACAAATGTGTTGGTGGGGCCCCTGGGTGCTGTGGGATCCTCTGGACAAATGTGTTGGTGGGGCCCCTGGGTGCTGTGGGATCCTCTGGACAAATGTGTTGGTGGGGCCCCTGGGATCCTCTGTATACATCATGTGTTGGTGGGGCCCCTGGGTGTTGTGAGATCCTCTGTGCACTTAATTTATTGGTGGGGCCCCTGGGTGCTCTTGGATCTTCTGTGCACCTAATTTATTGGTGGGGCCCATGGGTGCTCTTGGATCTTCTGTGCACCTAATTTATTGGTGGGGCCCCTGGGTGCTCTTGGATCTTCTGTGCACATAATTTATTGGTGGGGCCCCTGGGTGCTCTTGGATCTTCTGTGCACATAATTTATTGGTGGGGCCCCTGGGTGCTCTCGGATCTTCTGTGCACATAATTTATTGGTGGGACCTCTGGGTGCTCTCGGATTTTCTCTGCACATCATTTGTGGGTGGGGCCCCTGGGGGCTGTGAGATCCTCTGTGCACATCATGTATTGGTGGGGCCCCTGGGTGCTCTGAGATCCTCTCTGCATATAATTTATTGATGGGGCCCTTGGGTGCTCTGAAATCCTCTGTGCACATCATGTGTTGGTGGGGCCCCTGGGTGCTCTGAAATCCTCTGTGCACATCATGTGTTGGTGGGGCCCCTGGGTGTTGTGAGATCCTCTGTGTGCATCATGTGTTGGTGGGGCCCCTGGGTGTTGTGAGATCCTCTGTGCGCATCATGTGTTGGTGGGGCCCCTGGGTGTTGTGAGATCCTCTGTGCACATCATGTATTGGTGGGGCCCCTGGGTGCTCTGAGATCCTCTCTGCATATAATTTATTGATGGGGCCCTTGGGTGCTCTGAAATCCTCTGTGCACATCATGTGTTGGTGGGGCCCCTGGGTGCTCTGAAATCCTCTGTGCACATCATGTGTTGGTGGGGCCCCTGGGTGTTGTGAGATCCTCTGTGTGCATCATGTGTTGGTGGGGCCCCTGGGTGTTGTGAGATCCTCTGTGCGCATCATGTGTTGGTGGGGCCCCTGGGTGTTGTGAGATCCTCTGTGCGCATCATGTGTTGGTGGGGCCCCTGGGTGTTGTGAGATCCTCTGTGCGCATCATGTGTTGGTGGGGCCCCTGGGTGTTGTGAGATCCTCTGTGCGCATCATGTGTTGGTGGGGCCCCTGGGTGTTGTGAGATCCTCTGTGCGCATCATGTGTTGGTGGGGCCCCTGGGTGCTCTGAAATCCTCTGTGCGCATCATGTGTTGGTGGGGCTCCTGGGTGCTCTGAAATCCTCTGTGCGCATCATGTGTTGGAGGGGCCCCTGGGTGCTCTGAAATCCTCGGTGCGCATCATGTGTTGGTGGGGTCCTCTGAAATCCTCTGTGCGCATCATGTGTTGGTGGGGCCCCTGGGTCCTCTGAAATCCTCTGTGCGCATCATGTGTTGGGGCCCCTGGGTCCTCAGAAATCCTCTGTGCGCATCATGTGTTGGGGCCCCTGGGTGCTCTGAAATCCTCTGTGCGCATCATGTGTTGGTGGGGCCCCTGGGTGCTCTGAAATCCTCTGTGCGCATCATGTGTTGGTGGGGCCCCTGGGTCCTCTGAAATCCTCTGTGCGCATCATGTGTTGGTGGGGCCCCTGGGTGCTCTGAAATCCTCTGTGCACATCATGTGTTTGAAGGGCCCCTGGGTGCTCTGGGAGTCCCCTACGTGTATAATTTGTTTGTGGGGCCCCCCGGGTGATCCGGAAGCCCCCATGTGCAGGTTCTTTAGTAAAGGATTGGTAGATATAAATATCTGTATAATATCGGGTGACAGACCTGTCTAGGCTGCTGGTATCCTCGCCACACATGTTACAATCTGAGTGTACCAATGGATCTAGCAACAACTGTGCAGTGCAGGAACCCGCCTGATTGGATACAGATGGATTGGGTGGATATTACATAGATTTGGTGGAAGTTGGCTGTACAGTCAGATTGTAACATGTATGGTGATCCTTAAAAATGAACCCTAGTATATGAAGCTTTGAGGGTCGATACTATGAAAGTTGGTAGGTGGCCTATCCTCTTGCTGCCCATGTAACATATGTGTGGCGATAGAGAAGGGCTTGCTGTATATATGTGGCCATGGGCGGCCAAGCTTTCTGTGCTCCCAGCACAGTGATCGAGCTGTCAGACGCCGCTCAGTCCATACTAATGATGGGGAGTTGGTGGGACTGGCTCTCGATCATGTGACCGCTGTGAAAGACAATCCTTTCCACCCCCGAGGGCTACAGACCCTAGTAAGGGGAGGCTGGGCAGGAAGGAGTTAAGCACTTAGATTTGGTTCACACTACTATTGGTGCTCGGTCCCGTGCATCGCTTGTACAGCAACCCATTCATTCAAGTGGAAAGCACAAAATCGTATATTGCTGTAACATGGCGGTGCCATTAAGAATTATTTACACAGGACCGCCGCCCTGTAGAAGTATATCTGCTATAAGGCGGTCATGGAGTGAATAAGGCTTGGTTCACGTGTATACGTGTTGGGAACACGCACAAAATCACGAGTGTTAAGAATGAATAGCACCTCTCAGCTAAAGAGCAGCACGTCTTGAAATGAGTCGTGAACACTCGTGATCTTGTGCGTGTTCCCAACACGTATACATATGAACCGCCCTATAGCAGATATACTTCTACAGGGTGGCTGTCCTGTGCAACATCACGTGTATATAATTCTTAATGGCACCGCCATGTTACAGCAATGTGTGTGTGTGTGTGTGTATTTGTCACAGCTGAAGCCAATTAGCAGGTGCCGGCCAGTGGATGAGCGCCGGTACCCGTTGATCGGAGTAGAGAGTGACAGGACACAAGGCAGAGCTGTGTCCTGTCAGCAGCGATCTGCTAGATTTTCTCTCCCTGCAAAGCAGAGAATAAAATCTAGCAGATTGCCTAGTAAAAACAGCACACTGTGTACACAAAATACTGGTTAGGCACACAGTTAACCCTTTGATCACCCTTCCCAGCGAAGTGTCATTAATACAGTAACAGTGTATATTTTTATATATACATAAAAAAAATGCAGCGCTGTAAAATGATCAAATCATGCAAATCAACACAATAATAGCCCTGAAAAGGTGCTCATTAATTCCCAGTGCCAATGGAAAGAATGCAAACTAACCAGAAGTGCATTTAAAGTACGCATGTGTGTAAGAAATCCTGGAGATTCCCCTCTCTCCCTCTGGTCAGAAAATGGATATGTGCTGAAATGGATGACGATAACGCCCTCTTGTGGGAAAACGAAATCCTGCAGGCCAGGAAGCTCCCAGGATAGGATATTCCTCTTCAATGGAACCAGGGCTGGGATTGAAATCACTCTGTGGCTGTGAAATTGGGAGAGAGACCCCTCACAGAGAACACAGAGAGATACTCATAGTGTAGTATATTACTTCAATTTACTTCAAAAAACCAAGTAAAACATATAATCAGGTGGCAAATGAAAGTGACCCACTGACCCTCTTAAAATTATAGGTGTGCGCCGGGCCTCCACATGGCACCTGCTGACGCGTTTTGTGCGCACGCACCACTTCTGAGGTAGAGCAAGGACCTTTACCTATACAGTGTATATTTTTAGCATTGATCAGTGTATGAGTATCACTGGTTCCCACAAAGTGACAGTGTCAGACTGTCTGCCGCAATATCACAGTCCCGCTATAAGTCGCTGTTCGCCGCCATTACTAGTATAAAAAAAATAAATAAACATTGGCAAACTGGTACTTCCTGGTAAGGGGGAGCATGTGAGGCACTCCCCTTCCTCCCATGTGCCAGTGCGGTGTTTTGTGATTGGGCCAGCACTTTCACCGGAGGGCAGGTGGAGGGTCCTTAGCTCTGGTGCAGGACTGACTGACGTAAGTAGCCCGTAAATGAATTTGTTTTTTGACTGTATTGTATATCAGTTTTTGTTTTTCTTTTGTTTTTTGTTTTGTTTTGTTTTTTTTTGCTGGTTGGACAGAAAAACTGACCCGCTTGTCAACACTGGTGTAAGAAGGAGTATGCGGTGGTTGTATTGTGGACTGTTGTCAGACTGTCACCCTATGGCATATACTCTCCAAACACCCAATGTCCTTTTTTGTTTTCTTTTTTTTTCAGCCCGACTGATTGCACCTAAGAAGTCTCGGGTGATCCACCAGCAAAAGCTCAAGAAGGTGAGTGAGCCCTTGGAAATCATCTCTTTCATCATATATCTTGTCTTTCATATCCATCATACACAGAGATTGAGACGATCATTTTCTTTCTTTCTGAGACATTTTGTTCCTATGTAAAGTTTTCAGTGATCGCATTTGAAGGACCGTTTCTGTGTCAGTTAATCGTATCCAAACATCTCTCCTTGTTCTGAGCCTGCGTGGCCCTCGGCCTGCGTGGCCCTCGGCCTGCGTGGCCCTCGGCCTGCGTGGCCCTCGGCCTGTGTGGCCCTCTCTCTATAAGGCCCACATCAGATGGACGATTCCATTGTCGGAAACATCTTGCCAACAACAGAATTTTCTAAAATTCGGCTCATGTTCAATGGAGTCGTTTCTTACTGGTCCTACCAGCGGTGATTTGCTCCATTTCCTCCTATTCACTAGCGATAATTGTAGCAGTGTTTCAGGCAGCGACTTCTGTTCCTGATCATGAACCTCGCCACCGCTGTGGGACTCCGCTTGGGCCTGGCAATTGGTGTGTACTCTTTTTGCACTGCATAGTAGGAGGAAAGGGAGAAGGTCACATGATCCACCCTGCCCAAACAATCTTGGGTATTTCCAAGGGGTATGGCAGGTGGACGGATGGCAAGGAAGGGTTAGTGTTCGTACCACGTGAAGTGGACTATAAGGAGAAAATGAATAGGCAAAGTGACCTTCTGAATATGGAAGTTGGTTCTCTCTTGACACATTGGGGGTTATTTACTAAAACTGGAGAGTGCAAAATCTGGTGCAACTCTGCATAGAAACCAATCAGCTTCCAGGTTTTATTACCAAAGCTTAATTGAACACGCTGAACTTGTAGGCTACGATGTATAGCTGAACCCGATTCTGAGTAAATCTCCCCATAATTCACACCCTCCAGGACTTCTCCAGGGTGTGACCCATCCTCTGGAACTCCCTGCCCCAACCCATCAGATTATCACCTACTCTCCTCTCCTTTAGGCGCACCCTGAAAACCCATCTCTTCAGGGAAGCCTACCCCACCCCCTGCTAATTGCCGACCTCCTCCACTCTTCCTACCCCTCCATCCCCCACAGCTATCTCCTCCTGTGCCACCATCCCCTCCCTCCTAGATTGTAAGCTCCAAAGAGCAGGGCCCTCGATCCCCTCATGTTTTGCATTGTATTGGTATTGTTCTGTCACATGTTCTGTCCCCCTTTGTAATGTACAGCGCTGAGCGAACCATTGGCGCTTTATAAATACTGTATAATAATAATAATAATTCCTGAGCTACATGCTGATTCCAACACTGTGAAGCTGAACCAGTTCAGGCTGACTGCAAGTGACCCTTGAATGTGTACACTGTGCTGGAGAAGGCAGTGTTGGAGGACAGCATCACCATCATTCTTTCTACAGGTTTCCTTTCAGTACCATTTTTTTTTTCTTGTCCTTTTCAGGGACACAGGAATTTAGATACCTCCGTTATACTGCCACCTACAGGAGGAGTAAACACTGGCAAGTGGAAAAATTTTGGTCAAACCCAGAATAACCCCTCTATCCAGCATGCCCTAGTTCTTTCTAGTTTCCTTGGAGGATGGATATATTTTCTCTCACTCTGCTGGGAAAAGTCTAACCAGTTTTACTAACCTTTGTTTGTGGAAATATTTTTGGGACTACACACTCCTGTTGTGTTCTAGCTGACTCAAGATTTCCGAAGTAAGTCTGAAAGTGTAAGGTGTACTGGGAAAGTATAGTGAAACCTTTGTGTGTGTGTCTCTTCCCTCCAATCAGCTTTCAGAGCTCTCCTCACTGAGCTCTGCAGTGTAATTTCAGCTCTCCGCCCCTTTTTTCTGAACTCTTAGATAAGCTTTATAAATTCTGGACTTTGAACAGATGTAGAGAAGAGAAGACTGCAGAGAGATAGGTACAATGGACTGGCCCAATAAAAACACGCAGAATCGGGCTTTGAAAAAAATACAATATTTGAATGGGGCCTAAAGGATAACTAAATGCAAGAACAAGGCAGCACAGTGGCTGAATGGTTAGCACTTCTGCCTGGCAGCACTAGGGTCCATGGCACAGCACCACCTGCTTGGAGTTTGCATGTTCTCCCTGTGCTTTTGTGGGTTTCCTCTGGGTACTCCATTTTCCTCCCACCTCCAAAGACATGCTGGTAGGTGAATTGGCTCCTGTCTAAATCGTCCCTAGTATGTGTATGTATGAATGTGAGTTAGGGACCTTAGATTGTACGCCCCTTGAGGGTTATGGACTGATGTGAATGTACAATATATATGTAAAGTGCTGCGTAAATTGATGGCGCTATATAAGTATTTGAAATATGGAAGGGTTTACAGCCACTTTACTCATGCTCTTGGTACTACTTGGTACAAAACTGAGGCATGCTGGGTAAAAGAGGGATTATGCTGGGCTGGCTCACAGTGTTTCTGTTTGCCAGTGTCCAATCCTCCTGCTGGCAGCAGTATAACCGTATATGAATTCCTGTGTCCCTCAATGGATTAAAAGAAAAGGATTTTACGGTGAGTGCCAAAATCCTTAATCCAACATTTTTCTTAATTCTAAAGCTTTTTTTTTTCTTCGGAATAACTCTTTTATTTGGCACTTTCCTCAGAATCTGGAAGTCCAGATCCGGAATAAGATCGAGCATGACGTCACCATGAAAGCCAGCGCCAACATGCCTAAAAAGCTTGCCTTGCTGAAAGCACCAGCACAGACAGGCAAGAAAGAGAAGAGCGCCCCTGCTGGCACCAGCAAGACATGAACAGGAAAATCCATGGAGAGATGACTGCAGTGGGCACAGTGGGATGCTGTTCACCTCTGTTTTCTTGTACATATGCTGGTTGTTTAATAATAAATATTTTAATAAAATTCTTTTTATAGTCTCAAACATGCCTTTCTGCTGACCGACTATAAAAAGGTAAATGGTTTGTCTGGAGTGTATGTGCCATCCTGCAGCCATCATTCTGATTTAAAGCAGATGGAAACCCTAATTGGATGACATTTAAGGCCCAATTCACAAAAGCATATTGGGGTCACATGACACATTTTTCGCAAATATTGCACAGGATAACGACAATGTCGGTTCACTATCCCTTCTTTTATGTGGTATGTTTTGCAAAAAGCAAAATCGCTTGGTAAATACTGCATGATAAAAATTGTTAGTCAATTCTCTAAAGTAAATAAATGCATGCCTTAAATTAGTGGTTCGGGCATGTGATATTTAACCCAATACCGAGCAATTTTACACCTTCCTGCCCAGGCCAGGTTTCAGGTTTCAGCGCTCTCACACTTTGAATGACAATTGCGCGGTCATACAACACCAAACCCAAACTAAAATTTTATCATTTTCTTCACACAACTAGAGCTTTCTTTTGGTGGTATTTAATCACCACTGGGGGTTTTATTTTTTGCTAAATTAACAAAAAAAAAAAAAAATTGAAAAAAAAAAGTTTTTCTTTGTTTCTGTTATAAAAGTTTGCAAATAAATAATTGTTCTTTATAAATTTAGGCCGAGATGTATTCTGCTACATGTCTTTGGTGAAAATAACCCAAATTAGGATGTATTATTTAGTTTGTAGGAAAGTTATAGAGTTCACAAACTATGGTATAGATCTGAATATTGATCAATCCTGAAGTACTGACGGCCAATCTAATTTCTTGAGGTCCAAGAATGTCAGGACAGTACAGATATCCCCCAAATGACCCCTTTTTGCAAAGTAGACCGTCCGATGTACTTCATAAGAGGCATGGCAAGTTTTTTGAAGTTGTATTTTTTTTTTGTCATTTTTCAGAAAATTTAAAAAATTAGTTTCACAATTTTTTTTTTATACATATTGTCACCAGTGCAGTACAGCGTCATCATATAACTGGTATGGCGGTGATCAGGGACACTGACTGGTGACAGTATGAAAAAAAAAAAAAATTATATATATGTTTATTATTTTTTATTAAATTTTTTTTTCTTTTTTTTAAGATTTTTTTTTTCATATTTCACTATGACCAAAGTAGTACAATGTTACCATAGTAACATTGTACTACTTTGGGGAAGTGATCAGTTTTTTTGTTGTGTTTTTTTTTTTACACAGTTTGCTTATAGCAAAGAATTACTTTGCTATAAGCAAGCATTTACCTGAATGACATCGATTCATTCAGGGGTTTTTTTTTTTGTTTTTTTCAGGGGGTTTTTTTTTGTGCTTAGCTGTGATTTGGCCACAGCTAATCACATGACATGTGCATGTGATTAGCTGTGACCATTCACAGCTAGGCAGTAGTATACAATGGATGGCATGAATGAAGCCATCCATTGTATACAACTGTCATGTGACCTGCTGTGATTGGTCACAGCAGGTCACATGGTACCGGCAACGGAGCCGATACTCAGATCTGTCATCGGCCGTGTCCGAGGTACACGGCCGGTGACAGATTGCGCTGCTCTGCAGGAGCGCAATCTACGCATGTGCGGGAGGACGCCATATGGCGTCCACCTGGAACGCTGATGACATTTGCCATCCGCCATTCAGCCATAGGGCAGGCGGCAAATGGTTAAGAAATGTATGAAAGTTGAGTTGGCTGTTAAGGATGCAGCAGGTGCCAGCTCCTAAACAACCGTGATGCATCTGCTATCAGCTAGATTCCCCGCTGACTGCAGAATGCAAACAATAATAATGTGTTATTATTTAATGCTGGCTCTTTTTGTTTAAATGGGTCATGGTTATTAAGGACGTGGCAGGTGCTGGCTCCTTAGCAACCAGCTATTCACTGGTTTTTAACCACTTCTAGTCCTGCCCACGTACATAAATGGCTGGACGGGAGCAGTGCAGGGGCGGGTTTCATTCATAAATGGCGCCCGCCATTTTAGCCCCTGGGAGTGCGTGGCACTGAGATCCGGTGCCGCTGTTTGGGACCTCTGTGTGATGTCCTGATCATGTGATCACTAATTGGCCAATCAGTGCTCACATGAATAGTAGTAAGCAAGATGTCACTTCCTGACATCATTGCTTACTACTAGTGAAATCTGTGAATGACCACAGAGGTCACATGGTACTTTTCAACATTAAAACATAAATAATATTTAAAACCAAAATAAATTTTTGAAAAATTATCATTTTTGGTTAGAAACTAATTTGGGTTATTTTTTTTTACTAAAAAGTTAACTGAATACATTTTGGCCAAGATTTATGAAGAAAAAATTTATTTGCAAAATTTTATAAGAACACTTTTTTAAAAAAAAAAAATGTCATTTATTATCGCAAAAAAAAAATTCCAGTGGTGAATAAATCCCACCAAAAAAAAGTTGTATCTGTCTCAAAACAATTCTTAAAAAATGTATATGGGTACAGTGTTGCATGACTGCGCAATTGTCATTTAAAGTGTGATAGCACTGAAAGCTGAAATTGGCCTGGACTAGAAGGGGGTGAAAGTGTCTGGACTTGCAGTGGTTAAGGACGTTGCAGGCGCTGACTCCTTACCAACCAGTTATTCACTGGTTGTTAAGAATGCCATCGGGCACAATACCGCATCACTTCAATAAATAATGCATGCAGCATTCTAGTAGCTTTTTTTTTTTTTTTTTTTTTTTTTTTTTTAGAGAATTGCAAAACAATTTTTTCAATTTCTTGAGCTATGTTACCGCTGATCTTAAATGGGTAGATAACATTTTGTGAATTGAGCCCTTAGTTTGCTATTTTAGTACAGTAGGAGAAGGCTAGAACCCAAGTCAGCTCTTTACTGCTGTCCAGTCCCTGATGCAGATTTTCCCTCACTCCCTGACCCTAGGTTCACACATATGCGGCCGTGCGGGCCGTGTTTTGCTCGGGCACAAGAGCCCATTCATTTGAATGAACTCCCGTGCCCCTGACACCTAGGGAAAGAAGTCCCTGTATGTCTTTGGAAAACGCAGCCCCCATGGGAACCTCAGTTCCCGGTACGGTTGCGTTTCCCAGTGCAGGTGGCGTGCCATTAGAACTAATGGCACCCACCCACGGGTCCGCAATTCTCTGTGCAGGTGGTGCGGCTGCATGGATTTTCGTGCAGATCCACAGCGGCACCACCCACATACAGTTGCAAGAAAAAAGTATGTGAACCCCTTGGGATTACGTGGAGTTTTGCATGAATTGGGCATAAAATGTGCTCTGAACGTCATCTAAGTCACAACAATAGAAGAACACAGTCTGCTGAACATAATACTACACAAACATTAGATGTTGCCATGGTTTAATTGCACATAACATGTAAACATTCACAGTGCAGGGAGGAAAAAGTATGTGAGGCCCTAGCTTAATGACTTCTCCCAGAGCTAATTGGAGCCAGGAGTGAGCCAACCTTGACTCCAATCAGTGTGATGATATTGGATGTGTTGCTGACAGCTGTCCTGCCCTTAAAAAACACACCTGTTTTGGGTTTACTGGTTTCAAGAAGCACTGTCTGATGTGAACCATGCCTCGCAGAAAAGAGCTCTCAGAAGACCTACGATCAAGAATTGTTGACTTGCATGAAGCTGGAAAGGGTTACAAAAGTATCTCCAAAAGCCTTGATGTTCATGTGTCCACGGTAAGACAGACTGTCTACAAATGGAGAAAGTTTAGCACTGTTGCTACTCTCCCTAGGCGCGGTCATCCTGTAACAATGACTGCAAGAGCACAGCGCAGAATGCTGCATGAGGTAAAGAAGAATCCCAGAGTGTCAGCTAAAGACCTACAGAAATCTCTGGCACATGCTAACATTTTTGTTGACACATCTACAATAAGGAAAACATTAAACAAGAATGGAGTACATGGGAGGACACCACGGAGGAAGCCATTGCTGTCCAAAAAGAATATTGCAGCACATTTGAAGTTTGCAAAAGAGCACCTGGATGTTCCACAGCACTACTGACAAAATATACTGTGGACAGATGAAACCAAGATTGAGTTGTTTGGGAAGAACACACAACACTATGTGTGGGGAAAAAAAGGCACAGCACACCAACATCAAAACCTCATCCCCACTGTAAAACATGGCGGAGGGAGCATCATGGTTTGGGGCTGCTTTGCTGCCTCAGGGCCTGGACGGATTGTTGTCATTGATGGGAAAATGAATTCCAAAGTTTATCAAGACATTTTGCAGGAAAACGTACGACCATCTGTCCGCTAGCTGACGCTCCGCAGAGGATGCAACAGGACAATGACCCAAAGCATACAAGTAATTCAACAAAACAATGGCTGCAACAGCACAGAATACGCCTTCTGGAGTGGCCCAGTCAGAGTCCTGACCTCAACCCGATTGAAATGCTGTGCCATGACCTTAAGACAGCGATTCACACCAGACATCCCAAGAATATTGCTACACTGAAACAGTTTTGTGAAGAGGAGTGGTCCAAAATTACTCCAGATCGTTGTGCAGGTCTGATCTGCAACTACAGGAAATGTTTGGTTGAGGTTATTGCTGCCAAAGGAGGGTCAACCAGTTGTTAAGTCCAAAGGTTCACATACTTTTTCCTCCCTGCACTGTGAATGTTTACATGTTATGTGCAATTAAACCATGGCAACATCTAATGTTTGTGTAGTATTATGTTCAGCAGACTGTTCTTCTATTGTTGTGACTTAGATGACGTTCAGAGCACATTTTATGCCCAATTCATGCAAAACTCCACGTAATCCCAAGGGGTTCACATACTTTTGCAACTGTAGATGTGAACCTAGGGTCACTCATGAAACTGATGCAATCAGCACAGTATGTGAGGGGAAATCTCTCTACCAAAGCCCTAAATACCAGTAGATCTCA